TCCTGGAAGAAGTGCAGCCAGAATCCTCCTTGGAAGCGAGAATGGCCAGACTTCTCTCACCTATTTTGGTCATGTTATAAGAAGGTACCCTTCCTTAGAGAAGAATATCATGCTTGGCAAAGTGGAGGGTCAACAAAAGAGAAGGCCCTCAATGAGATGGTTTGATATAGTGACTACAACAATGAGCTCAGGTATAGCAAGGATTGTGAGGTTGCCCAGGACTGGGCAGTGTTTCATTTTGCTGTACATGGAGTCTCTATGAGTCAGAGACAACTCAATGGCACCTAACAACAACAGTATTCCATTGTGTGTATGTACCACAGTTTGGTTATCCATTCGTCCACTGATGGGCACTTAGGTTGTTTCAGTCTCTCTGCTATTGTGAATAGTGCTGCAATGAACATGAGTGTGCACGTATTTGTGTCCTGGCTCTCACTTCTTTAGGATATGTACCTAGTAATGGGATTGCTAAAAGAAGCTCTGGTGGCATAGCAGATAAGGCACTTAACTGCTAACAGAAGATCAGCTGCTCAGCAGAAGGAAAATGAGGTGATCTAGTTCTATAAGGATTTATGGCCTTGGAAACCCAATGGAGTCACTATGAGTTGGAAATGACTCGATGGCAGCAAGTTTTTTTTTTTTTTTTTTTAATGGGATTGCTGGACTGTACTGGTTACTTAGTGTCACTGTTACAGGAATATACCACAAATGGGATGGCCTTAACAAACAAGAGTTTATTCTCTTACAGTTTGGAGACTTTAAGTGCAAATTCAAAGTGCCAGGCTCTAGGGGCTGGGTGAAAGCCCCTCAACCTTGGGGTCCAGCTCTGCCTCCTGGTCCTGGCCCACTGGAGCTAGAGGCATTTCTTCACTCAGACAGCTGCTGGCTGCTGAGGCTGAGAAGCCCCAGGGTTGACAAATAAAAAAGCACAGTCCCGATGTTACCAAACCACAGGGCAGGCCATTAACTTAAGTCCATTGTAAGTCTCAAGGTCGGCAGAGCATAGCAGGCTGCTGAGCAACAAAACAGCTACATGCAGGGTCCAAGTGTGCCATAGGCTAGAGACCATTCCCAAGGCTTCTATTTATAT